TCTGAGTCCAACAGAAACAGGACAAGTGGTAAGGGGCTCAAATCCCCCCAAAAGGGAGGTTTTATTTAGGTATCTAGGACTTGCTCTAGAACCTGAGCAGGGGGTTGAATTAAATGACCTCTTGAGGTCCTCTTCCAGGCCTATCTTCCTATAATTCTGTGATTACTCATAGCGTGATGATGCTGAGTGCTAAAGCCCAATAAAAGGTTTATGTTGTGTACTTTCCAGTACAGCATTCCAAAGACTGGGGAATGGATTTTTGCCTGGAAACATGTGAATGGTCTCAAGTGTCCTGAAATATTATCTTGTAAACAGAGGGACTGTTCAAGGGGACTAAGCGTCAAAGAATTATTTGGCAGGAATCACTTCTGAATGTTTTGTGCTGTGGGTTGCTTCTGGTGAGGGCTGCAGGAACCAAAGTGCTAGAATTGTGGTGTGAATTAGTGCCTCTTTTTCCTCTGGGTAGGATTGCCATAGAAAATGGCTATGAACTCTGCTTTCTACTGGCTAAGTGGTCTCTTGGAAGGAAAAAAAGGCATGGTTTAAAAGATTTCCCTGCTGGAACCAGATATCTGGGGCACTGGAATATTGTTGCACCAATGTCCCCCCCCACCCCATTCTTTTAGGATTTGTGGATTGAGAACACTACCGGGTACAGCAGCGGAAGATTCTAGCTATGTTGTAGATACGCATTTCCTAAAGAGTTCTTACATTTTTAAAAGAAATTATCCAAATAAGTGTTGCTTCTTTGTACCTTAACTTGGAGATAGAGATAATTTATCTGTGGGGCAATAATTTGGTTTTGGATATTTGCTTTATACTGCTGAAAAATTATTTTATTCATTAACTATATCATTGCATGACTAAATGTTAGATAGTAACAAAAGTAATGCAATTATTTACTTATAAAACTGGTTTTCTTATTCATACTTTTCAAAATTAAAAAAAATTGAGCATTTAATAACTTATTTTTTGGAATGTAAGTATTTTCTTGAAAGCTTATTGACTTTTGGCTTATTTTTTTATTTGTTTTTAGAGAAACAGTACATTGTGTCCAATTTTTATAAAAACAAAAAGTAACTAGATGAATAAATAAACTTATTTTTTATACAGATCTAGGTTTCTATCATTATTTTCCTATAATTTGCTGTTTATTCATCCCAAAATTGCACTGTTACCAGACTAGACTGCACTGAAAATTCTTATCAATCTTATCATCCAATTTCACTCCAAGTTGTTTTGGTATAACTGTTTTAAGTTTGTTCTTCCAAGTCAGCGAATACAAGTTTTAAAGATATTCTCCTCCATATGGTAAAATATCTATGTCCAATACATTTATCTAAAAGATTCAAAGTCTTTCTGGCATGATTCTGTTTGTCCATTATTAAATTTCTATTTCTAGTAACTTCTACCCATTGGAATGTTACTGTTTATTCCATTATTTTATTAGATGCATTATTTTTCATCATTAGTGTTTTGTCCAATCTATTTCTTTAATAGACAGATAATTAAAAACCTGCTGTTATACATGCTGAACTGTGATAAACTGAAATTTAATGAAATGGCCTTTAAAGACTTAATCCCATAAACGTCTACTTTGCTTACTAGTAAATTTCACAGTGAAATTAAGGACTTGGCCCTAAATTCTAAAGAATTAAAAATGTACAGTTAGGAAAAGTAAAAATACCTTCTGTCTTTTTTTTCAGAAATCCTATTTTACTAGACCTGAAAAGCTAAACCAATGTCTCTCTGCAAAAAGACTTTGAATGAAGGAGTACTCTATAATTGCACCTCTTATAATTATTGAAATTCCACACACAGCTGTAATCTAAGTATCCCTAAAATTGAACTGCAAAGTTAAGTAGTAGTCATTAAATTCTATTTTTTTTTCATTAAGGCCTAATTGTACAAAATGTTTTCAGTTACAATTTTAAAAGATTACACACATTAAAGCTAAATATTCCCTCACCATGGTTAAGTTAATGGTGAAGTTACATTTTGACCTTCATTAGGGATGCACATAGACACAAATACAAATGAAAAAAGCTATTAAAATAAAGAATTCAGCAACAACTAAAATGATAACAAATGGTAAACAAGAGGAACTGGACAGCACTCCTACATGAACCGAATCCAACCTACAAAACAGGGAAGTCCTCTGTATACAAAAATAGTTTATGTGGTGTGTATTTGCATATCTGCATACACACTTGTTTTGGCTGGTAAAAGCCCCTAATTGAAAAAAACAGAGGCTTCCCCCCGCTCCACCTCAAGAAACCAAGTGACAGATTGCTTTTTTTTGCCTTTCACACCTTTTTCAGTAAAACCGTCAATCTACACTATAGATTTTTTTTTCATTGTTTTAAGAGAGATTTTTGTATTATACCCAGGGAAATTTGGGGGGGAAATACTATTTTTGGACATTCTGTTTGCTGTCCCCCTTCTCCCATTTTACATAAAATCAATTATGGAATAGTGCTGTGGTGCCACCTTCTGGAAAGCATGGAGGCTAAGAGTTTGGAAACCTTGTCTTTGATTATATAAGCTTTATTCCCTCCAGTGGCAGAAATTTCCAGAGCCAGAGAAAGAAACAGTATATGAGATAAATAATAAGTAAGCAGTAGCATACCACACACTAGGACAGAGGGTGGAATTTGGGATGGGGGAATGACAAACAGAGCTAACAACAAGTAATTTTTCCTTGCCAAACACCTTTTTCCTCACAGCCTGTGACAGTGGATTAAGGGGCAGACAGCAAATAAAATGATCAGTAACCCAGGATGTGGGCATACCCTGCAGTGGCACAAGCAGAACCTATAGATTAGAAGGATAAAATTATAAGGACAAGCGAAGGAGCCAGAGGGTGACAGACCACTGTCCTGCCACATTTGGAAACCACTGTTGTACTGGCTCACAGAGCGGAGATTTCTCTAGACAAACACAACACCCAATAAGCTCAGACCAAGATTTAACTACGTCATGCTACCCTCCGGGAATGCAGGTCATATTTCTGTTAGCTGAAGTTCTGCCCTTGGTGCAAGTCCTTGGGACTTGAAGACTTTTAACGTTCAGGGGCAGGCTCTTCTTCAATCAGTATGGCTTGAGCAGGCATTTCTTGACCATGGACAGGCTGCTGAAAACATCAAGGTTGATCGCATGAGCAAGGTGAGAGTGTGTTCCTCATCTGAAGGGTGGAGTGAAGAACGGGTCCACTGGGACAAGGTCCAAGAAACAGGAACTGCTACATCAGTCACACGGGGAAAAAAGTGGCCAGATGGGTTGCCAGAATTGTTCAATGGCAAGGATAGAGAGTCCCAAATAGATTATGTCTGGAGCAGCAAGAATTCCTGCAAAAGCTTAGGGAGAAGCAGAAGAAAGGGTATTCCCCCAGCTGAACAGTAGGAAGCCCATAGATCAAAGGAAATAGCCACCCCAGCTGCCTTTACCAGCTGGAGACCCCTGGTTCAGGAGCTTGTGGGGGCAATGGAAGGCTATTGCACGGCAGGTAAAGCTGGGAGTAGAGCTGCAATCTGAAGCATGGTACAACTACTGGCAAGGCAGGTGGGCAGGATGCAAGGACACAGATGCCTCATCCAGGAAACATTCTCCCTGGTTAGGTGAGAGAAGAAAATTATGTTTTGGAAGGAGTCATGTTATCAAACTGAACAACTGGCCATAAATGAGAAGGTGCATTAGTTGGCCGCAAGACTGATAACTCTGCCTTACAGTTTCTCCATCCAATACAAAGCAAAACCACATGACTTCTTGCTTCCATGCTTGCCTCTCTCATACTTGTCCCCTCTTTCTTCCTTAAATGTTTCTCCCCTACAGGCAGAACTACAGGAAGAGAGAGCAGAAGTTCCTACCCTACAGGAAGAGAGAGCAGAAGTAGACACTTTTTGCTTTCATGGCAAAAGAGGTAGACAAGGAGGAGAGAGGCAGCCTACTACAGAATGTTTCATTGAGGTATGGTTTCAGAATTCTGCCTGCCTGCTTCAGCAGATGGCACCATGACACCATTAATGTCTGAATCCATTAGCAAAGGGCAAAGGGAAACAATAAAAAAAGAAAAAGAAAAACCTCACATATAAATACTAGCAAGACACTCCTGATGATGAGCAATTAAGCTCAATCCTAAATGTCCAGTTGTAAACTGCATGTAAATTGAAAACTGGGATACAGCTTAATGCTATTCACCATTTGGCACCTGCCGCAACACCATGAACCATAGAAAAAGGAGAGGACAAGGAGCTTTATTCACATCAACCTCTGCCAGTACTCCTTGTCTACCAAAGAGAAATCCCACTTTATTGTAACCATCTACCTTGGCTAAGAGCTTTCAGAGATAGTGGCCAGGCCTGTTCAATGGGGTCATTCACCTGCTCTAATGCTACTAGTCAGTTCTCCAACCTCCAAATTGTGCATGCATGTACATCACTGTGGGTGATCTTAAGTGAGTAGCGTTCCATACAGATTGATGTGGAGAGCTGCATCACCCATTCCCACCCATTCTTTGGAAGTGGCAGACTGTTAACACCCACAATCTACTCCTAAAGCGCAACCAAGTAAAACCTTGAAGGAGTAGTTTGCCCCATTCTTCCAATCAACTGTTGCTGCCTCCTTTTCACTCCATCAACAACTTATAGAAGTAGCAGATGTATATTACCCCAACTGTAAATCTCTTTCCAAGCATGTTCTCTTCATGTTACAAAAGACAAGTTTCAAGGATGGCCACTATACTACCTCTTAACGTTAAGGACTGATGTTTTGAATCAAAATAGTTTGCACATTTTTGTTTCCAAAAATGACTGTTTTGTGAGCAAAGATAAATTCTGAAGCATGAGAATAATGCCAACAGACTCATGGAAATTTCTACGCAAACACATTCTCTTTTAAACAGCCGTAAGCTAAATCCAGTTCATTAAGCAGAAGAGATAAAGAAGCAAATGCAAGAAAGTCTGTTTTTCACACTCAGCCAAAATGCTAATTATGTTACTTACCCTAAATGAGAATTCAAGGTTTTCTCCTCCCCATACTTCCATTCCTGTGTCGTAAGAGCCAAGATAGTCAAAATAGTTCTTGCTGACAGCAAACAATCCACCGGCCATGGTTGGAGACCTACAAAAGGAAAAAGTCAGTTGGACTGGGAGAGGAACGCTTGTACATAAATCAAATGTATTCTTTTTTCATTCATTTCCTCAGTCTTTTTCAGTTAACAATGCAGCAGTTCACAATGAATCAGATAAATACTATGTTGCTCAGATATTTAAAGGAAAAGAACACCTGACCTGAATTATGAATAGGTGCATCAGAAAAAAGTAAATGTTACACTGAGATACAAGATATACTTGTAACAAAATGGTCACTTGACATCATATAGTAATTTGTAATAAATAAAGATGTAGGCATCCTGCGTTCAACTAAATAAATTGTAAGCAGTGAGAATTTTTTTTCTGCTCTGCATCTGTATAGCACAATGTGGCCCTGCTTCACTAAGATTTTTGTAAGCTAGAAAGTCACTGCCAAAATGAGACTGAACAGAAGGAAGGCAAAACAGGGAGGAGAAAAGATCCTCCACTGGCAGCCAGCTCTCCCACCGCATGCCAGCACTAGTGTTCCTATAAACTGAAGCTAGTCTACCCATCATGTGCTCTTGCCTCACGCCAGATGGTAACATCCTTGCTTATAATCCACAACCCACAGCAGCCCCAATGTTCTCATCTGGCACTCCAAATCATCTCTTTCTTATTGTGACAAAAAATACTAAACACATTTGTAAGCAGAGGATTAAGCAACTTGGAGGGCTGTGGACTATTTAGTATTAACTTTTTTAGATTGTGGACCAAAAACACATTGAGAAATTACATAGCACCGTTTTGGTTTTCCTCTGGCGTGTCTACACGTGCAGTTACTGCACAGTAATTTAGGTTACTGTGCAGTAACCGGAAATTACTGAGCAGTACGGGTGTGCGTCTACACGTGAACTGCCATATTGCACAGTAACTATGGTGACTTATGCCGACCATAAATTTTCTACCTGCATGATGGCCAATTAGTTACTGAGCAGTAAGGCACATGTAGGTGCCTTACTGTGCAGTAACATTGTATGTGGACTGACTCGGGACTAAAGTGTTACTGCGCTGTAATTCCTGCATGTGTAGACACCAGCCTAAAAACTGCTTACTGTGCGGTAAGTTACTGTACAGTAAATGCATGTGTAGATGCACCCCTCATCTTGACAAAAATAATGTTCTCTTATCTCTCAGTGGAGAAAAATTCATTAATATCTATGATCCTTTCAGCTATGGCAGCAACAAATGCCCAGGAAAAAAAACTGCAGGGAAAACAAACCACTCTGTTTAATACAGACTTTGGATGATGGGTTATAAATAAAGCAAAGGCCACTTACAGACAAGTTAGCTACTCAGTGATAATTGTCTATGTGCACACTCTTATCTGAGGTAAACACCAGGTAGCTTACCCCCTGAAATGTGGGGTAGATGCATACACATAGGCAGTTACTAACAGGTTGTATGCTCACTTTCTATTTTACCTTGTTGTAACTTGTTCATGTAGCTATACCCTCTGATATATTTCACATAAATAGTGCCATTACTCTCATTCACCTCTTTCTAAGGAGGACATTTTCATGATAACTAATTGGTGACCACTCATGTAGGTATGTCTCACTTACTACAATGAGACTTTACAATGGAATAAGGACTTGCTTGTGAAAAGGCTGCAGTTTAGTTCATAGTTTGAGTAAGCATAACAAAGTCAGACCTGACTATAACTCTCTCTGAATGCTTCAAGAGGCAGGTCTCTAAAATCAAAACATCTACCATTCCAAAGACTTAGGTTGCTTATCCAGCCAAAAGATATCTGAGTCCAAAGCAGCAAATGCCCCCTAAGCTTTGACGTGTCTGCAGCTATCCCTCTGCAGTCTTAAGAGGATAACACTTGTACCGATTTACAATCTGATCGTATTTAGAAGATTTAACATTTTCAAACTGAAAGCTGAAATACTGCACAAAATAATTACAAATTATCAGATGCCTACTCACCCAAGCATAGACTCCCATTGCATCTATTAGGTATGTAAGTAGATGTACGTACCTAATCACAATCCTATTCTACACTGCTCAAGACCCTGAAAACTAGTAAATGCAAAAGATGGGCACGTCCTCCTCACTGCTTTTTGTGCCTTAGTCTTAGGTGTCAAATGATGGTGTGCTACAAAAGTAGGCAGAGGATTTGATACCTAACAGGTGGAATACTACCTAGCCCAAAACTACTAACCAGTATAAATTAAAGGCAAGTCCAGTCCTTTCAACTATGTTTCAATATCACCCAATTCTTCTTTTTACATTTTAACTGTTGCCTCTGGGTTATTTGACAGATCTGTAGCTTTCGGGTTTAAAATGCCATTTTTTTCTCTTTAAGAGCCTCACTTTTTCTTCCAAGTGTAGTTCTATTATTCCACTAGCCTGAGCACTAAACTTATTTTATTAGGCAAGAAGCATTTCCTGAATAAATGTATTCATAACAACTTACATGGCAAAAATACCTGCAGATCTTTTCGAAAAGAAAATTTTGCTAAGAGCATGACTTGAAACAATATTTAAAAAAAGGTTTAAAAAAAAAGAATCTGTACTTTAATTTCAATACTAAATGGTAAGTGTTCACTTATTCACATTTATTTATTTCAGTTCATTTTCAGCTGAAATTGAACCCATTTACAAAATGTAATATTTACAGATATACAGAAAAAATAATCATTCACCTGATGACATCTGTCTTAGATCTTCTTCGTTTCTGCTCCCTCTCTGGTATAAGGTGCCACGTGAAAACCAATCTCCAGTCAAACCCACCAATCTGTGGCTCCCCAGCATTGCCCAAGTACTCAAATGTATTCCAGTCAATAACATCAATAACAGGACACACAACAGCTGACTCCTCTTCACCAATTCTAAGATATTTTATAAAAAGGAAAATAATGTTATTTTGGATACTATTAGGAATTTCTATCATAAATTAGAAATCTTACGATTGGAGAAGTGCTTCTTAATACACAATTTTTGCAATACAAAAAAGAAATGTTACTGACTGTAGTAACTGTGCTCCTGCACATCCATGTCAGTGTGGATTCTAACTCTACAAAACTACTTGTACTGGTTGTGACACACTGCAGCAAGGTTAAATTTATAGCAAAGACCTCTGGGTCAATGCTGAGGCTATACCACTGGAATAAGAACTGATGTCAGCAGAGCTTTCTGCACAATGGCTGTTCCTTCTTCCTATCCCTTAGTGGGATAGTATCATGTGGAGCTTGGTGGATTCATATGCAAAGGCTTTGCTCTGCTCATCCTTCCAAAAGCTCTTTCTCTACCATCTGCTTTGCTGTTTGGAGAGGATGCTCAGTGCCTGACTTAGACAACAAAGGTATCTCGCTGCCAGCTGTCAATTTTTAAGGTTGCCTCTGGGCCAAGGGTGTCAGTATTGAATTTTCTCTTGGCAGGATCTTCTCCAGACTAATGCTAGGCCTTACCTGCCTGCTAAATTGGGCAATGGATGGCACAGGCTTGTGGAGTTTCCTTAGGGACTCAGAAGTTTCTAAACTACTGTAGAAGATGGTGCTTTGGTTTTGCACCTTGTGCCTTCCACATTCTACTTGAGAAAGACAAGTGTATTGAGCACTGACAATACGAGTCTTCCAGGTAAAACAGGCAGCTGTCAAGAGGCTTCATCTAACCATAGGCTCAACATGGTTTAAAGCCTGAAGGGTTTCATGCATACCAAGATCAGGGGCCTATGCAAAGGCTGGAAAATAGGGTTCTGAGCACTTGAGATCTGTTCACACAAGTTGGATCAGTTCATGGTTGTCAAATATAATAGGTCAGAAGCAGTCTATAGTTTGAACTATGAACTACAAGGGGACTGGACACTAGCCAGATTCCACTCTGCTCCCATGGGAAGAACTCAAGAAGGGTCTTGATTGCACTGTTCCTTACGAGAGCAGGAAGCAGAACAGTTATACACACAAGCCCAAACAGACCCCTCTTACCAAGCCTTTTGTCTAGCACGTGAGGTGTGTGCTAGATCCACCGTAGGATCCATACTGGCACAAAACATGAAGAACTGAACATTTCTCCCTCCAGAG